AGGAGAAAGAAGGCTAAACGTCTGTGATTATTCAAGGTGGCCTGTCACGGAGACTCGGGCCCCGCTGAACACTCCCTCGACCCACCCCTGAGAGAGTCTGAACATAAACCTCAGTGACCTCAAGTGTCACTCAAAGCTTGGCCTTCAAGGCCCATTCTAGGAGGCCTGGCCACAGTTTCCGACAAATGTTCTTCCCAGAGATTACCTATCCAAAATTTCATTTAAGAAACAAATTACTTGATTTAAGAAAGAATGCTGTTTTGCTTCCGCAGGTGCTGCTCAGAGCTGACAAGGATAAAACTTCTAGAGTGCTGAGGGAAGAAACCATGAATTAAGAGGCAGGACACACGTCCAAACGAGGCACATCTGCCGGTTCCCCACAGCTCTACAGAGAGGCAAGAGCCCGATCTTCATCACAATGGATTCAGGCAGAGAAAGGCCACTGGATTTCTCCCCCCAAGGTCCAAAACCATGTAGCTCACGGAAATGAAGAGTCCAACCAGGGTTGTCTGTCAAATCGCAACAATCTCAAAAGCACCATTTCTCAGACCTTCAGATGCAGATGATGGCCTGCCGGGTCAACAACAGCGGGTTTTCAGGTGAAAGGTGCTCTAGGTCGGTGGAGGCGCTGCTGTTGACAAAGCAGGCACCGGTCGCCTTTGCACAGGTAAGAACAGTCTGCTCTGCTCGATTTCGGAACTGAATGCTTCCTGAGCTATGTTTTCCTAGCTCAGAAACTTAGAAATGCAAACATACACAATGGAGAATGTGAAAAAGCCAACTTTTCCTCCCAACTTATGGGATATTTTACAAATAACATCTCTACACCCTTTATTCTGTCTAAGGGGTAGGATTTCTTTTTTTTTTTAAAGATTTTATTTATTTATTTGAGAGAGAGAATGAGATAGAGAGAGAGAGAGCATGAGAGGGGGGAGGGTCAGAGGGAGAAGCACACTCCCCGCCGAGCAGGGAGCCCGATGCGGGACTCGATCCCGGGACTCCAGGATCATGACCTGAGCCGAAGGCAGTCGCTTAACCAACTGAGCCACCTAGGCGCCCAAGGGGTAGGATTTCATTGCAATAACATTTCAGGGAAGGGAGACCACATGTTTGCACATTATGTATCTCCACACACACAGGACAGAGAGCGTGACAGGACAAAAGGGCGCACACACAAACGAAGGCAAAGCATATATGGGAGTTCCTGCGACTTGAGAGATTACAATATAGATGGGAAAAAAATCTTCCACTATTTCTGGGCGAAGCGTTTTTTTTTGTTTAAATAACCAACAGAAGAACAAGCAGTTGTTCATCTTGTTCTTCCCAAGACCAGTTCTGGCTCATTCTTTCCGTAACAGCAACAGTGACCGAGAGCGAAAGTCTGAGATTGTGACACGCAGCTGAGATTATGAGCCTGCACTAAATCGCGAGGCATCCGATGTATTCTTTGCTTCTATTTGTAGAAAAATTCCAGAAAACCATCTTGATTCGGTAGCTGACGTGTTTCCGAATGGACATTCTTTGATCTACTCAATAAAAGTGTGTGAGAGAGAGGAGAGCTGGACAATGTTCCGGAGCAAAAGAATTTCATCACTTCTAGTTTAAAGTATTAACCCTCAAAAAGTTCTTTGTTGTTTTCATCATCTATTTCTAAGGGTCAAAGTTCACTAAGAAGAACAAACAAACCTTCCACCTTACCATGTTGGTTATTAAATACCCATACTTTTCACAATATTATCAAGACATCACATTTTGTTCCATCAAAAACCTTTAAAAAAACGAGGCACCAAAAATAAAGTTCAAGGGAACAGATTAGTCACTGAACTGATTCCATCTGAGGAAGAGTAAAGACCAGGCTTTGGTATTCTTACACCCCTTCTCAGCACTGGGTCTCCAAATGGGGGTCGGGGGGGGGAGTAATTCTGCAGATTTCAAAGCAGATGACCCTGGTCATAACAGCCACACTTTCATTGCACAATTCAGGGGCTCATTGGGATGTAGAGTTAGTAAACATTTTAGTCATTCATAAAAGCTTGATGGAATCCAGAAATCAGGCTACCCTTCTTTGAATAAATCCCCTACAGGGAACAATCCTATGTGGGTCCATGGGAGTGACCAGTTTGGAGATTTTTCAAAATACTGACAGCCACCTGAGATAAGCAAGCGCACGAGTTCACAGCCGTTTTATCACCCAGATCACATCTTCTAGCTACATACTAGAAAAGAGGCTTTCTGAAAAGAAGATTTAGTAAGCATCAGCAGGCCAAGTCTGAGGACAAAAAAGGAGTAAGCTCTAAGGCAACCCATAGGAAGTATGAGTCAGAGACACTGATGAGCTCCCTAGGAAGGGCCTGGGTGCTAGCCTTTGGGGCAGCAACAAACAACAGACTTGTGGGGGAAATCAGGCGCTCCACTGTTGGAGGTGAGGGGTCACCTGGAGGCCTACTGAAGAGAGGAGGCCGAGGCCTGGGAGGGAGCCTAGAAAGCCTCTGACCTCCCAAGAACTCCACAATTTCAAGTAACTGGCAGAAGAAATGACATTTTCCCTGACGTCTTCATCTTAGGCTAACAGGGGTGGGGATGCAGGGGTGGGAGGTGGTATTTGTGTCTGTGCTTGTCGTCATGTCCCCAGCCTAACACTGGACACAAATATATGTATTCTGTTCTTTGTCTCCCTCCATTTACACAACGTGGCTGCTACCGCATCTCCACACGCAGAACAGGGCCGGCACACAGCAGGTCCTCGAGACGTGTTCACGGAGTGAACGGAACCAAGAATGAAATGAGAAGCCTCTTCGCTTCTATTCACCCAATCTTCCCCTTCTTCCGAGATATTGGTAGGTAGAGTAGGATTCCAAAATGAAACACCAAACCATCAAGAAAGGAAAGTTGGCAACACTGGAACACTCGCTCAGAAAGGAGATACTGATATTGTTAATAAGGAGGAAACCCGATTGCCCACAACCGCATGCTCACATAGCTGAAATGCAAAGTATTCAATCTCTCCCTGAATGCATACTCCAGTGTGACCAATTACAAGAAGTATGCTCTGCATACGGAACTCCTAATTCTCTAACAAGGATTCTTAACTGAGGTCAGACCATGGGCAGGTTTCAGGATTGCTTATTATATACAGAGAAAATATTTACAAACCACATGTCTGACGAAGGACTAGTATCCAGGATATATAAAGAACTCTCAAAACTCAACATCAAAAAAACTCAAATAATCCCATGAGAATGTGGGCAAAAACGTGGACATTTCACTGAAGAGAATATACACATGGCAAATAAGCACACGAAAAGATACTCAACATCATTAGCTGTTAAGGAAAAGCAAATCAGAACCACAATGAGACCTCACTGCTCATATCTATCAGGGCGACCACAATGAAAAACAGCTATAATACCAAATGCCAACAAAGACAGACAGGAACTTGATCTCTCATACAATCCTGGTGGGAATGTAAAATGGTACAGCCACCTGGAAAATACTTAGCAGCTTCTTTAAAAAGAAAGAGAGAAAACTGGGAGTACCATGTGACCCAGCAACTGTACTCTTATTTATCCCAGAGAGATAAAAACTTATGTCCACCCAAAGCTCTGTTCACAGCAGCTTCATTTGTCATAGCCAAAAACTGGAATTGGCCCAGATGCCCTTCAACGGGGGACTGGTAAACTGTGGTCCATCTACACCCACGGAATACTTCTCAGTCCTAAAAAGGAACTACCAACACGCACACACCAGCTCGGATGAATTTCCAGAGAATCATGCTGAGTAAAAAAAGCCAATCCCAAAAGGTTATAATCTTCCACTCACATAGCATTTTTGAAATGACAGAATTTAAGAAACAGAGGACAGATTCGTCGTTAGCAGGGATGAGGGTGGGGGGTGGTGGGAGGGAGACAGGTGCAGTTATAAAAGGACAGCAGGAAGCATCCCGCCGTGTCGAACTGTCCAGCGTCCTGCTTGTGGTGGAAACAGGAACCTGCAAGGGCGTTAAGACTGTACAGAACTTACAAAAACACACGTGCGTACAAGTGAAACTGGGACAACCTGCATGGGAGCAATGGGTCCCATCAATGTCGCCCTCCGGGCTGTGACACTACCCTGTGCTTTTGCAAAATGTTACCCCTGGGGGAAACTGGGAGAAGGGTATAAGGGATCTGTATTATTTCCAACATCTGCACGTAATCCACGATCACCTCAATTTAAAAGAGATCGTGTTTTTAAAAACAAAAACAAAGAACAAAGCGTATAACAAGCTCACTTCTATAAAATGAAACCACACACAAAAACAAAAGTATATTTTTATGTGCATACCTGTTACATGCGTGTAACTACGTAAGTGCATAGGAAACAAGTTATGTATGTAGGAAGAGCCCCAAGCTTTCTAGCATATTCATTCTGGGGAGGAGGGGTCTATACCTACCATGTAATCAGCAAGCGCTACCGTACACAGACACACACAAAAGAAAACCAAAGAAACTCAGGTTCAGGATGAAGCAATCTATCTAAAGTCACAAGTAAGTGACAGAGCAAGAAGTCAAAGCTCACACGACCCTTCCACAATTCCGTATCGCCTCTGACATGTGGGCGACCCGACTGCCATAAAATGACAACAGAAGAAAACAAATCATTCCTACGGGGGCCGTGAGGTTTTCAATTTTCTGGAAGCCCTTTGTAACAGAAACCTAAATGGCTTAAACAATGGCATTTAAAGTGGGGAGAAATGACAGAATTAATACATACAGCACGGTATCATGTGTTGGAAAAAATCACCCATAAAACAAGTGTTTCTACATGTACACGTGTAAGTACGCACACGCACAGACCCTGGAGAACACGTACCATCTGTGAGGATCAAGGGGAAAGAAGAATACTGGTCAAGGGGTATCGGGGCTTCAATCACAGTGTTAGAATTTGAGAATGCATTCCAATTCAAGTATAATATGTCTATTTTTTTTTTAAGAAGGGGGAAAAATAAAGCAAACACTTACTGCATTCATAGATCTGTTCCAGCTTATCCACAGAAGAAAGGGAGAAAAATTTATAACCGGACTTACTACCAACAGCTAGGGACCTGCAAAAGAGCCAAATCAGAAATAAGAGCTGATACGTGTAGACAGTGATAATGCACAGACTAGCTCCATGTTACCAACCATCATCATCTCTACCAAAAATTAGCACAAATAATTTCACATAGTTTGTAGCAGGTGAGTGGTGGCTAAGCAGAAAAGGGGAAAGTGGCAGAGCAAGATGCCCCACCTCGCAGCCAGGAAAGGGTGAAGGCCAATAAAATACAGACAATATTCTTATTTAAAACCTACAAAACCTTAAAGATAAATTTGACAAATAAACGGAAGTAATCGGCCCTAATTTAATGACCCCCTCAGAACAAAGTGGTGTTTCTCAGGTGACCTGATCTATGTGCGAGTCCAAAAGCTAAATAAGCCGGCACTCCAAACTTTAAACACAGACATTTGCAGCCTAGTGGACGATGACACCCTTCTGCCTTTCGGCGAGGCCACAGCAATGCGGCTCAGTCACCTATGTTATACTCTGGCCGGGCAGTGGGGTGGTATAAAATGGAGCAAAAAGCGATCTTAGAATCTGTACACAGCTGACCTACAAAGAAAAGGTGAAGCCACTCACACCCAACACAGCACCGCGGCGTTTGCTAAGAGGCCTGAAGGGACCTTGCGGGCTCTCCAGGCCCTGACTGAGCACAGGGACCGTGGGACATGAATGAAGTGCTCCTCATCAGACGGTTACTACTCTCTGGAACGTGACTGACCACAGGAAAAAACAGAAGAAAGCAAAGCTTTGAGAAACAGAAGATGAGCCAATAAAGCAGGAAGTGTGGGACATGCGAGGAAGCAGCTACTGGGACTCCTGTGAATTCACTGTCTGGGAGGACATGGAAAACAAGCAGAGGCAGAAGACAAACCAGACGACTAGACCAGGAGTATCTGCACACCAGGATAAAAACTAGGGCCCCTCTAATGGTCATTACATCTATTAAAACTTGAACTTTCCAACCTCTCTTTCGCCTACATGCAGGAGAAATATATTGAGAACGGAGCTGCTATAAGCACTATTAAATTTTTAAGCTGTAATTGGTTCATCTTAAATGTATAAACACAAATAAAACTCCTTCTACCAGCCCGTTTTTGGGAGCAAAAATACTTCACTATACTGAATTAATTGTATCAATGAAGTAATTAGGTACTGTTATCTGTAAATATTTTGAAAAGCAATAAAAGAGCCAATAAAAATAGAAGAATATCCAGGAAAGCTAAAAATAAGACAAAATCTCAGCAATCTACAACTTTTGGGAAGCTGGTGTTCGGGAAAACGTTTTCCAGATAACTAATGGTTGCTATTTGCTATTTTAAGCACCAATACGTTTCCCCCCTGCCATTTCTGATTAGAAAATGAAAAAGTCATTCTTGTATTATATGCTTTCCTGTGTTCCTATCACAAGGGGATCGGAAATTCTTAACATTTTCCTGGACTCCCATCATTAAACTTACCCTATTACAATACAGTGACCCTCTCAGACGCTAACAAGGAGTTGAGGGTTTTGTGTACTGACCTCAGATGGCCAGACTGTAGTGCTGAGTTTCTAAATACATTTTCCACCTTTTGTTTTGCTGACAGGTGTCACTTCCTTGTGACCCTCCCCCCATCATTAACAGCTCCTCTCCCATTCTAAACTTCTTGTTGACTTAGGAACCAAATTACCAAACTTATTGGCCTTATATAAAAAACAAACTTAGAGAGGGCTTCTTCCATGGGCAAAGTTAATAAGCTTTAACTAGTTAATGAGAACCTGGATTTTGACGCTGTGCTCCTAACAGGAGAATCTGTCAAAACTGGGCTTTGGTGATCAAACATCAGAACTCTGATGTTCTTACAGATATTCCAAAACTGGTTTAGGATATTAAACACTTTAGCTAGAATTTTAATTGCACGGTTTATAAAACCTCAATCAGCAAGAAATATAAGCAAAAATATTTCAATTATTTTGACAGGTATTATGGTATAATATGAATATACACTTTATCAATAAAAGTAGGTGTTTTTAAAGGGTGGTAACACCAGCAATCAGGTTCATACATCCCTCTTTGAGGACTGATCCTGCTTTTGATAATTTCTCATGATTTGCCTAACCATACAATGGCAGACATATTAATGGGAGAGGCAGAGTAACAGATAAGTTTGAGATTCCCTTATTAAATAATGTCATTCCCCAATAAATGTTTGTGTTTTTTTTTTTAAGGTAACACAGTGAGATCTTTTACTGACAAAGGGAAAACCCAGCTCACTATAATAAAAAAAAGGACAGATTTACTTAAGCCTACTTCCCTACCATACCGCGGCCTTCCGTTGCGCCTGCCGTCAAAATCCAGAGGCCCTGTTATAGACCCTGGAGACAAGGTGCAAGTCCTTGGCCAGGATGGGAGAGGGAGTGCTTCCGGAACGTGCTTTGGGCCAATCCTCTTTATTTTCATCCCGTCCCCCTTTATTCGACTGCCAGTCCTGAGCCTTCTGGGGATTCTGCAGTTTAAGCTAGGTTGGCTCTCTGCTTTCTCCACTAGCGACTCGGGATCCACTCCTTGCTAGCTTCCAAAATGTTGCTGCCAGTGATTCCTTCCTTATTCTCCTTATCCAATAGGTTTCAACCTTTTCCAGTATCTTCCGGTATTTCATCGGTTGACAGGAGGGTTTTGGGAGGGGCTAAAACAAACACCTGTGTCGGGCGCCTGGGTGGCTCAGATGGTTGAGCATCTGCCTTCAGCTCAGGTCGTGATCCCAGGGTCCTGGGATAGAGTCCCGCATTGGGCTCCCTGCTCCTTGGGAGCCTGCTTCTCCCTCTGCTTCTCTCTCTCTGTCTCTCATGAATAAATAAAATCTTTTAAAAAAATTAAAAACAAACAAACACCTGTGTCTGACCCACCGTCTTTGACTTCAAGCCCGTCGGCGGAATTAAACTTGAGTGTTCGATATCTAAAAGACAGGGATTCCCACTAACACAACAACAACAAAAAAACCCCCTCAAATGTGAATCAGATCTTTTTCTTGACTCCTTTTTCTTTTCTTTGCCTTCTTATCAATAATTAGTCCCCAAAGGCTTTCCCTTTCCATTATCTTCTTACTTGATTAGAGGTTTAAGTGGCATCGATCCACACCCATAAAAAGGAAACAGTGGGAACTGCCGAGACCTGGTAGACCGCGGGGCACTAGCTAGTAAGCTCACGGCCCCAGCAGGCCCTTTCCCTTGGCTCACAGCATTTCCACCCCGGGTCTCCACATACAGCCTCGAAAACTCCACAGGAGCCAAAGCAGATTTCATTCTTTGCCCCCAAACCGAATCCTTCTCTAATCTTTTCCCCATAATGGAATCATTGTTCACTCCGAACCCAAACTAGAGATTTGGGAGTAACCTTAACTTCCCCACATCACCCCCGGCCCACGGGTCACACCAAATCCCGATGGCTGACCAGTCTGCTCTCCACAGGCCACTGCTGTTGGACAATATCCTCCTGGGTGACTGTCCTGCCCGCCTCCAACACGCCCTCTACCCAGCAGGCGGAATGACCTAAAACTTTAAGGTTGAAGGATCCTTAAAACCCATTCACAATCAAGCCTCTCAATTTACTGATGACGAGAAGGTGGAGAGAAGTGACTTTCCCAAAATAGTATCTGTAACCTAGAAGAATTTCTGTTAAACAAGCATCTCCATAACTTTTCTGGACACTAACAACATCAATGCTACAAATGGAAGACTTGGAAAATCAAGTCCCTCTCTTTCATCTACCCCTTTTGGAGATGTATTTTAAAACAGACATTGCCAAATCACAGGCTTCCCACAAGCTGAGCGGCATCTGGTGGAGGACTTCAGTCCTTGATATTTTCATTTAAGTGATACTCTGCCACTTACTAGTTTGTCAACTTCAATTTCAAAAGCCAAAAATTCCTCCAAAAGAAACCTTCCAAACTGTTACTTTCAGAAACCAGGATTGGAACTAGCCAGTCAGTAGGTGACTGAGATCAGCTGTTCCTGGTGCCTCTTTCACTGCTCTTGCTTAAAAAAAAAAAAGAAAAGAAAAAGGAAAAGAAAAGAAAGAAAGAAATCAAACAAACAGTAGAAAACAAAACTTAGTCATGCTTCCAGGGAAAGAATCCTAGAAAAATGAGGACAATATTTGACACCACACTGCCGGGGCAGAGAGGCAGGACAGATGAGCTTGCTATGCCAAGGAGTATTCTTTGTTCAGCATTCCTGTGTAACATACACATATTCTAGTATACACATATTCTAGTAAGCGAAATGGCTTCCAGATTTTCTCACTCAAGACAGTGAGTGTGGATCCCAGACCAATAACCTTTGTCTTGTGAAAAACTGTGTTCCTCTCTAAGGACAGTTTCTGGAGACTGGTAAGGGAGGCAAAGGGGTAAATTGTGCAGCCTTTCCTCAGGAGCTCATGTATTTCTTTAAGACAAATTACAGTCATTTTAATTGATAAACTTCCAGTATAAACCTATCTTACTCTTTCTTAACAATTTATGTTCATATTATATCAAGGTCTCTGGCAGGTCCAAATTATGACACAGAAATCTCTTGAACTTCAGGACCCACTGAGGAGTGGGGAAGCACATGATTTCCAAGTGTGAAAATGTCTAATTTCAAGCCATATTGATATATTCTATTATATACGGAATTTGGTAGCCCATTTGAAATAACCGCAAAAGAGAACACATTGTCATTATTTTATTTCCTTTCAATATAAATAATGGGTAGTTAGAAACTGGGGGGAAAAAAGGTAGAAAATGTTTTGAAAATTCTCTAATTTATACAAGACATAAAAATAACCACAAAGCTACCATTTCTTACTGATCTCAAAATACTAAGGGCTTAAAAACCAAATCACAGATGGTCTGATATGCTCTATTCGCTTCTTGGATGAATATAATATAGTCTATCCCAATTACAACCACGTGCAACAGGTTGTCCAAGATGTTTCTGTTGTACTGGTTTGGGGTCACACAGTATGCTTATGTATGTTTTAAAGACTGCTACAGTATGATTTCTAAATTCACTGTCCTCAAAATCCTACCTTTTAGGTAGAAAAGACAGTGGGGCAGGGTGGGAAGATCACTGGAAGAGAAGTCAGTCCCGCCCCCACTCCACTATTGGCCGCCTGGAAGATCCAGGTGCAGCTCTGGACCTTTGCGAACTCCAGGTTCCTCATCTGCTGTTGGAGCAGGAAACGGGCTTACTTCCCAGCCTCTGTGCGGTCCCCCTGCCAGACCACCTGCACTAACCTCACGATTCTGCATAGGCCCTGCTGAGCACCTGCTGCTTGCTGTTCCACAATTAACTTTTCACTAAAAAAGAAAAAAAGTTTTTTCTACTTGGCTGATTCCATTCAGCCAGTAACAACTCAACCAACTACTTACTATGAAGCCAATGACCCATTCCTCCTCACTTACATCACTTCCTCTTACTCACTTCCCAAGATGGCTCTCCTCCCTTCCAGTTCCAGAACTCCTTCCTTCCTTCTCCAGAAACTTCATCTATTAACTATCCTCACAGGTCACCCAGACAGCCTCTGAAGAATCAGCTTCAAACCCACATGGGTTTGGACAAACGGCGTTCCAAATCCATGGGTCGGCATCAGTGGCCTCTCTTCCCCTAAGGATGGCCCGACTCCTCAGGTTCCCCTTGGCTCAGTTTCTCCCCAGATCAGAGGCCAGGGTTATTGCTAAATCTGTTTCTTGCTCGGGCAGAACATCAAAGCTACCTAAAAAAACAATAGCGAGACAAGAAGAAAAGGAAAGCGAAGAAGGGAAAGAGGCCCTAGATGAGGAGACTAGAAGGGCCTGAAGAGGGGAAAGGATGGAGGAAAAGGGAGGACGAAGAAGGGGAGGTGGGATACAAGGAAGAAACGCACTCTCGCCGCTCCAGAAGCGGCTGAGACAACAGGTCAAGGCACAAAGTTCTGCCCCAACTTCGTGAGAAGGGAGGCCCCAAAAGGTAAAGCAACCTTTCGGCGGGTGGGTGAAACGCCTCCCTATCTCCATCACGTTCCCCTCCCAGAGATCGCAGCTCCAGCTCAGCGCCCGGAGGGTCCTAGAGCAGAGCGCCCCTGCCTCCAAGCTCCGGGCCCGCCCCGGCCTCCACCCCCAACCTCCAGGCCCAACCTCGGGCCCGGGCCCGGCCCCGGCCTCGGCCTCCCCCCCGCCCCAGCCCCGGTCTCAGGCTCCCGCCCGCCCCTGCCCCAGGCCTCGGCTCTCGGCCCCGGACCCCCGATCCCCGCCCGGCCTTACGTGTTGTCCTGGTTGAAGTTTGCGAAGAGCAGCTGGCCGGCGCCGGCCTCGCCGCTCTGACTCGCCAGGTTCATGGTGGGCGCGCGGCGGGCGGGCCCGGCCGGGGGCTCGCGCGCGGGAGGGCGTGTCGGGTACGCTCAGGGTCGGCGCCGGGCCCCGCTCGCCGCCTCTCTGGCCGCAGCTGGCTGCCCGGGGATCAACCGCCGCCTCATCCCGTGCCCGCTCTTGTTTATGCTCCCCAGCCGGGGCACCCTGCGCGCCTGCGCGGCTCCGCCTCCTCGGGGCACAGCCTCCCCCACGGCGCAGGCGTATTGCGGAGGTCCCGCCCCTTCACCTCTGGCCCGGGCCGGGAGTTCTGATCGAACACGCGCACGCGTGGGGACGCGCGGGGGCGCGCCGGGCGGGCTTGCTGAAGGACCGAGGGCGGCGCATGCGCATGGAAAAGAGTAGGCGCTCGGTACCCTCCATCATTTTATCAATATTAAAAGGGCCCGCCGTGTGCCAGTCGTTGCGCTAAAGATTTATGTACAGCATCCCTACTTAGAGAATATTGCATTCCATTTTACAGATTTGAAAACGGAGGCTCAGAAATACTAACCTATTAGCCGAGTGTTGGATCTGAGAACTGAAACCCCTTTCTTTCCCCAAGGCCCACGCGGAGGAGTCCACCTTACATTTATTCATACGTTCAATAATGTTTAGGAAGTACCTTCCATGTGAATTAATTGGGCCTCCTTTCCCTTAGAGAAGTTACAGTGGGGGAGATACTTAAACACAATTACAAGTCGGGGTACAAGAGAGCACATAATGAGGTCGCTCAACCTAAACTTAAGGGACAGGGACTGTGCAGTCAGAGGAGGCTTCTTGGAGGAGAGGAGCCCTGAAATTTGAATAGTAGGTAACCACCCTAAGGAGATGGAAGCATTCTGTATTGCAAAGGTCCACAGATGAGAGCGTGTCCCGGGAATGCTCTGCTCAGTGTGTCTGAGCTCTGAGTGGGACGGTGAACACGAGACAGATTTGACTTGTGAAATCCGAGGTGGCTAAATCAAGCTGGATGTTGTTAAGCTACATTAAGCAAGAGACTGAACATTATCCTAAAAACAGTGGTCTGCCATTGAAAATACTTATGCAGGAGAATGGCACAATCAAATTTGTGGGCAGGGAAGTTAATTCTAGCCACAGAGTCAAAAGTGCATTGAAAATCGTTGAGGAAAGAAGGGTCTTTTCTATTAAAGGTGCTCAGACTCTGCTGCCTCACACCAAACTCAAAAACTAGTTTGAGATGGATTGTAGACATAAATGTGAATGGTAAAACAATAAGCCTTCTAGAAGAAAACATGAGAGAATGCCTTCATGACTTTGGGGTCATGACTTTGGCATTTAAACAAGTACTTTAAAAAGTACGAACCAGGGGTGTCTGGGTGGCTCAGTTGGTTAGGTGTCTGCCTTCAGCTCAGGTCATGGTCCTAGGGTCCTGGGATTGAGCCCCGCATCAGGGAGCCTGCTTTTCCTTTTCCCTCTGCTGCTCCCCCTTCTTGTGCTCTCTTGCTCTCTCTCTCTCTCTCTCAAATAAATAAATAAAATCTTAAGGAAAAAAAAGTACTAACCACAACATAAAACATTAATCTTCATCAAAATTAAGGGCAACTGCTCATCAAGAGACCATCAAGAGACGTTGAGAAGGCAAGCCTCAGAATGGGGTACCCATACTTGCAATACATGTATTTGCAATACATATTTTGGCAAAGGACGTCTTTCCAGAATGTTAAAAGAATTTCTACAAATCAGTAAGGAAAATACCAACTCATTTTTTTACTGGGCAAAATACTTGAGCACAGGCACTTCACAAAAATAGCAAAATGGCTAATGAGCACCTGAGAAGGTGATCATCATTAATATTCATCAAGGAAATGCAAATTAAAAGCAAATAAGATACTACAAGCATCTACCTGTTAAAATCAAATAGAAACAGAGACTGGACTAGGGCACCTGGGTGGCTCGGTTGGTTAAGCATCTGCCTTTGGCTCAGGTCATGATCTCAGGGTCCTGGGTTCGAGTTCTGCATTGGGCTCCCTGCTTAGTGGGGAGTCTGCTTCTCCCTCTGCCCCTCCCCCTGCTCATTCTCTCTCCTTCTCTTGCAAATAAATAAATAAAATCTTAAAAAAAAAAAAAAAGAAACAGAGACCAGACTTGAAAATACCCTGAGTAGACAAAACCAGTTTAGTCAGACAAGCAAAGCTTAATTTAGCTTATTTTGCAAGACAAGCAAGTATCGACCTGGGTCACTTCTTGCTGGTGCTTCTGAAAATCATAAGTGAAACAAAGCAGTTCTCCAAAATTGATAGGAGGTAACTGCTAACCAATTCCCGTGCATTTAAGAAAATTCTAATATCGTAACCAATCATTGTAAAGAGTGAATAGTCATTATAGAAGCTGCCGCATAAAGATATACCTCTGAGCCTCCCTCCCTGTTTTGGTTTGAGTGCTCCTCATTTGCAAATTGTCTCTTTGATGTGTATACAATAAACTTTTTCTAATTACTACTTCAGTGATTTGTTGATTTTCGTTTTTTATTCTGAACTTTTGACATCCCCTATTGGCTAAAATTAAGATAACTGACAACCCAAATTGTAGACAGTAACTGTGGAGCAACTGGAACTTTTATACACTGTGAGCACAAGTCTAAATTCTTAGAATCAGGGTGCCTGACTGGCTCAGTCGGTAGGGCGTGCGACTCTGGATCTCAGGGTTCTGAGTTTGAGCCCCACATTGGGCATAGAGATTACTGATGACTTAAATATAAAACCTTTAAAAAAATAAATTGTTAGAATCACTTTGGAAAACTTTTGACAGTATTTACTCAAGTTAAACATATATATTCCCTAGGATTCAGCCATTTCACTTCTAGGTATATCCTCAATAGTAATTAGTGCATATTTCCCCCCAAAAGACAGGTATAGGAACACTCCTAGCTGCTTTTTCTTAATAATCCAAAAGTGGAAATAACCCAAATGTTCATCTACAACAGAATGAATAAGCAAATTTTGGTACATTCATACAAAAGAATACTACAGAGCAATTAAAGGCCACACACACATGAATGAACACAATATTGAGTGAAAAGATACAAAAGAACATAATACTCTACCAGTCCGTCTGTATGAAGTCAAAAATAGGCAGAGTCGTGGTTCCCTCTGGTGGGAGATTGGTTGGGAGGGGGTCAGGAGGGAGCCAGCTGGAATATGGGAACTGTCCTGTGTCCTGATTTTAGTGGTTGGGCATATACATATGTAAATGTATAAATACACATATGTGGATGCCCACAGAGTCCATCTCCAATCACTGAAGTCAAGGTGTAGCCCAGGAGCGATGTCTTTAGTGGTTCTGTCTTTATCAGTTGGCAGTTTCCTCTGGGCCGTAAAGAGGTGTCTGAATAAATCCCCTGGGTTCTAGACACAGTCCTTCACTTCATTTTGAAAAACCACCCAATTTCCCCTCACTCATCAAAATCTATTATTTCATCCAGGACAATAACTTCTTCTCTCTCTCCATTGGTTCAGCCAATGAAGATCTCTAAATGGCAGGGGGTAGACTCCGTTTCCAATTTACCAGAACCATAACTCTGTTCCCTGGAGTAATAGGGGTCTTTTGCTACTAGAATCTCAAAATCCAGTGAACCCAGGGCTGTGTGGATGGAAAAAAAATTTTCCCCTTGGATTATTAGTTGTAATCTGCAAGGAAACACTACCACCTCTAATCCCATTTGATGGCATGTCCTGAATATTGTAGAATGACATCTCAACCTCACAGGGTGTGGCCACAGCTAAACCTTCAGGAGACCATTCCACCATCTATGTGAACACCAGGATAACACTTTTAAAAATGGTAATGTCCAAAGCTGAAACCTTAACCAGTGTGTGACTCAGAAACACAACTTCATGTCCCAGCTCACCTGGGGACGGCATGAACTGACATTCCTGATGGCAGGTAGAGCAGGAAAGGTGCTTGAGACCTTCTATCATCACTTCAGGAGTCCTCCAGCTAACTAGCCTGATGCCAATCCCGTGAAGAAGAGCTTCCCTTCCTCCTTCCAACCATAGAGCAGAACCATCACCTGTTGGTGCTTAAAACATTCCTCAAGTATTCTTCTTGCGTGCCACATTCAGAGATGAGCAATCCTCCCACAGGCGAGTTTCTAAATAAACCCGTGGGTTGAAGAGCTGGCAGAGAGGAGGGAACCGAGGGCTGAGTGGAAGGGTGATGGAGGGCACCTTGCAGGAGGTGAGGCAGTAAGAGAGAGGTCAGAGCAAGCACACCACTGAAATCGGACAGGCATCCTGAGGTTCAAATCCGGGTTCAGGTTCTCTTGAGGTGTGTCTCCTTAGGTAAGTCACACAACCTCTCTGAGTATCTGTTTCTTCAACAATAACGAGGGCTAGAATAATTCTTTTGTGAGTGCTATGGAGATTGGATGCACAGGAACAAGCCCTTCCAAAAGAGTGGAGCCATCCCTCCGTGAAAGCAAAGAGAACACTGGCAAAAATGATCCAAATCCACTTCTTCGGAACTCTGGAGATGAAGTAAAGGCATGCAACATTCTAAGAAGCATTTGTACAAGCAAAACAGCGGAATCTCTGTAAAAGCAGTGAGATCCGTGGCATTTTTAGTTTTCCTAATTCCATCTCTCCCTCCAAGCTCCGTGGTAGCCTTCGAAGTCACCACCCTTGTGACAGTGACAGGTGTAAAAACAAGCAGCCTTGGTGGCACCTGGGTGGCTCAGTCGTTAAGCGTCTGCCTTCGGCTCAGGTCATGATCCCCGGGTCCTGGGATCGAGCCCCGCGTCGGGGTCCCTGCTCCGCGGGGAAGCCTGCTTCTCCCTCTCCCACTCCCCCTGCTTGCGTTCCCTCTCTCACTGTGTCTCTCTCTGTCAAATAAATAAACAAAATCTAAAAAACAAAAAACAAAAAACCCCAAGCAGCCTAGCAGTCACTGGAGGGGGGGGAAAGGGCTTGGAGCTCCGCAAAAGCCCCATCCCCAGAGAATGGTCACCGTTTGACCTGCTTGGTCCAGTTTTTGCGGAAAAGCTCCATTTTTGAAGCGTGTCTTTATTTGATCCAAGAGTTTGCCAGTTCATCATGTGGATGAAGTTCCCTTTCTATCCCTAGTTAGTTGAGTTTTATCATGAAATGTGGTTGGATTTTGTCGAAAGCATTTCTGCATCTATGGGAGGATCACGTTTGTAATTTGCTTATTCGTTTGGTGACTTGGTCGGACTGATTCTGAG